GAGATGTTGCGGATTTCGTTCCACGGGAAGGAGATCTTGGGGGTCAGCCTGTTCTCGGGGTCGTAGATGTGAAGCCCCAGCGCGTCCACGCCCGAGCAGCAGCTCCGTGCCCTTCTTGTTCTGTGGATTCAACAGAGAGCAGCCGCTGTCAGCTCCGGCCGAGGCCGGAGGTCTCGTTCGTCTTCCCACGGGGCCTGGCCCACAGTGTGACAGATGACAAGCTTCGGCAGGTCCCCGCAGAAGCCACGGCCCTCGTGTCACCCAGGGGGGCCTCCAGCTTCCTGAACCGGGGCAGGTGGAGACACAGCTGCACCGTTCTTATGACCTACGTGTCCCCGGAGAGGGACGGCTGGAGGCGCCTGTCGCTGGCTTGATGGCTGAAGCAGCAGCAATCTAAGCATTGCTAACCTCCGATTACACAGCCAGGTTATCAGAGATGTGAAATAAAAGCCTGTAAGATGAATCATTTCTTATATTAAAAGAAAAAAAACTGTTGGGCCAGCCGGCGTGGCTCAGTGGTTGAGCATCGACCTACGAACCAGGAGGTCACAGTTCGATTCCCGGTCAGGGCACATGCCCGGGTTGCAGGCTTGATCCCCAGTGGGGGGCGTGCAGAAGAGAATCCATGATTCTCTCTCATCATTGATGTTCCTATCTCTCTTTCCCTCTCCCTTCCTCTCTGAAATCAATTAAAATACATATATATATTTTTTAAGTGTATTTTAATGTGATAAAGCAAATAAAGTGTTCATTGTAGAATCTACGCAGTGGGTTTATATGGGCAATCATTGCAAAAACATTCTTTCAACTTTCCTGTATGTTTGAAATTTTTAATAATAAAATGTTGGGAAAATATATCAAAATGAATGATATGCAAATGACACCTCCATGAGGCTGTTTAAAAATTTAGTTGATTGACTACCCCTGTGCTCTATACCTCCGTATGGCAGCCCTGGTCAGCGGTCAGAGCCACCCGAGGGCCAGCGCCCAGGCCCCCACGTCACCGACCCGGCTGCGGTCCAGAGGCCACATCCTCCGGCTGCAGGTCCGCCCGTCCGCCCGCCCGCCCGCCCGCGCTGTGGTCTGGCCTTTGTATGACGGTGGCAGGAAGCTCCCTGCACAAGGACCTAACGTGTGTGACCCCTGGCCGACAGCAAGGAGACTAAACCAGACTCAAGGGCAGGAAGACAGATCTGCAGACTGAGAAGGCGCCTGGACCGTGAGGGGAAGTGGCGACCTAACAGCAGGAGGAGGGGCGCTCCAAGGTTCATTTCTCTTCTCCTTCCAGCACCCCAAAGGCAGGTGCTTCCTCCGCTAGTCCGCAAAGCTCCGGAAACTACGTATTATGTTAACACGAGCGAGGCTTGGTACTCTGAAAACCCATGGTACCTTCTGGAAGACGAGGTATTTTATTATGGTTTATTTTCTCTTAGTTTGGCTTTTAAAAAAGAAAGAATCCCACCCTCTGCCTTCTATCATTACGACTCCAGCATTTCAGATAGAGACGGAGTCTCAAACAGCCCCTTTAAAATTGCTTTCAGTACACACAGTGATGGGGAATGCAGGAACTCGAACACAAAAGACTACGATGGCCATTAGCTTTGTCTGTTGCGTAACATAAGAAACCACACACACACAGAACGGTATCGGACGGCTTGACGCAACGGCTGTTTCAGGATTGCAAAACACCAATTTTCTTTGAATCGAGGCGGTGGGCATTATGGAGCAAGAGGCATTGGGGCTGACAACCCACGGAAACGCGTTGAAATTGGTCCGGCCCAGAGGAAGCCAAACAATGAGCAAATTCAAATGAATGAAACTTCAGAAAATAACCTTCTGCATTATTATGGAAAATCTTTTAGGCACCTGCTGACTAGATGACATCACATAACTTTGTCGGTGTGTGCCTTGTTTTAAGCAAAGTAATCCATCTAAAAATCTGTATTTAGAAGAAAAAAAAATCAAGTAGACAGCTTACCCTAGACCCGTGGTCGGCAAACTGCGGCTCGCGAGCCACATGCGGCTCTTTGGCCCCTTGAGTGTGGCTCTTCCTAAGCCTTAGGAGTACCCTAATGAAGTGAATAACAATGTACCTACCTATCTAGTTTAAGTTTAAAAAATTTGGCTCTCAAAAGAAATTTCAATCGTCGTACTGTTGATATTTGTCTCTGTTGACTAGTGAGTTTGCCGACCACTGCCCTAGACTGTTTTAAATGTGTTCCAATGTACCCAGATTTAATATAACATTTACAGGGATCCCAAAAAGGAGAGCCAACCATACCGAGATGGTCGCTTTACCGTCTACCCATCTGCAGTTTGGAGCTGGCGATGAAATACCTCAGTGGATTCGCAGGAATTCCTTCGCAAGGAGCATCTAGCCGGCTGGAAAGGCCCAGCCGCAGACTGCAAACAAAGGCCATCCTGACGCAGGAGCGATTGGCTCCCAGAGGACCGTGGACAATTAATGGTCTGAATAAAAATCCAATTAGCCTGCCAGTGAGAACAAGAGCCCACACCCACGCGGAGCAGTGAGATATAAAATCGGCTTTACTCTCCTCGTGCCCTTGGGGAAGGAAGTACTTACAGGTGCTCCCTGCGGCCCGGACCTCACGGAGCCGGATGGAAATAATCAAATGTTGCCCTCAAGCATTCAGACAGGTTTCTGCTCAGCCCGGGACCAGCCCCAGGCCCCAGAGGCTCCACCGACACTTAATTACCTCGGATCTAATTGAAGCCCCCAAAATAGACAATGAGGCTGTAGGACCCTGTCCCCTTCTCTCTTTCACCACTGAACCGTGCAAGAGTCTCCCATCCAGCCCCAGCCGGTTTGGCTCAGTGGATAGAGCATCGGCCTGCAGACTGAAAGGTCCCGGGTTCAATTCCGGTCAAGGGCACATGCCTGGGTTGTGGGCTCCATCCCCAGTAGGGGGCGTGCAGGAGGCAGCCGATGGATGATTCTCATCATTGATGTTTCTCTCTCTCTCCCTCTCCCTTCCTCTCTGAAATCAATAAATATATATTAAAAAAAAAAGAGTCTCCGATCCAGAATGAGAAAGGAACGCATTTCCGCAGTCGGGCCCTGGGTCTGTCTCTGGTTGCACACAGGGAACTTGGAGAAGCTTCCACGTACCCGGATGGCGAAGTAGTTCACGCCATACATCTCCAGGTCCTGCGCTATCTTCAAATATTCCATCTCGGCCTCGTCCCTGTGGGGAAAGGAAACGGGAAGTGAGCCAGAGCAGACCCAGGCAACGCTCCTCCTGACCGGAGTCCATGCTACACAGTGACGTCCAGCAGGCTCTCCCATCCGCATCAACCTAGGAGAACAGCCCTGGCTGGTCTGGCTCAGCGGATAGAGCGTCGGCCTGCGGACTGTAGGGTCCCGGGTTCCATTCCGGTCAAGGGCACGTGCCCGGGTTGCGGGCTCGATCCCCAGTGCGGGGCGTGCAGGAGGCAGCCGATCCATGATTCTCATCATTGATGTTCCTATCTCTCCCTCTCCCTTCCTCTCTGAAATCAATAAAAATACATATTTTAAAAAAAGTTAAAGGGAATGAAAAGATGATCAGTTCCTAAAGTGATCAGGGAAGTGCTGATAAATATTTAAGATATGTTTTACCTTTTTTAGACGATAAAAATTGGGTTGATAAAAACAGGTGTTGGGGAGAGCATGGGGGGGGTGGAGACACACACTGCTGATAGGCACGTAAGCAGAGACCACCTTTTTTTGGGGGGCAATTGGGTGGGGCCTGTCAAAACTCAAAATGCATCCTTTTGACTCAGCGACTCTTCTAAGGAATCCACGGGCAGGTCACTCAGCCCATTATGTAACGATACCACACGGTACAACTGCAGCACGTTTTGTAAGAGAGAAAAACCTCTAGCTACTCCAAATGCCATGGGTAGAGAAATCAGCCCAAAAGCTGTGGGCTATCTCTACGGTGGAATTCTCAACACGGAACGAAATCACCAATGCATACAGGCCCGCACACCCCGGCAGGCAGGGAGTACCCACGCTCACAAGCGCTGGGGAAAGGATTCCTACAAAACTGAACATGCTCCTCGCTCTCTCTTTTCTTTTACACGAGAGGCCCGATGCACAAAATGCCTGCAAGAGTACTCGTAGGCCTTCCTTCCCCCGGCCGCCGGCACCGGCTTCCCTCCAGCAACCGGGACCCAGGCTTCCCCTCGCAGCCCCGGCTTCGTCTGGAAGGTCAGCTGGAAGGACGTCCGGTCTAATTAGCATATTATGCTGCTATTATTATAGATGCTACAGTCATGCACTTTGTTCGACAAGCATGTCCTAGTTTTGTAGTTTGTTTTTTTTAAAAAAAGCCCATGGCCCTGGCCAGTTTGGCTCAGTAGATAAGAGCGTTGGCCTGCGGACTGAAGGGTCCCGGGTTCGATTCCGGTCAAGGGCACATGCCTGGGTTGCGGGCTCGATCCCCAGTGGGGAGCATGCAGGAGGCAGCTGATCAATGATTCTCGCTCATCATTGATGTTTCTATCTCTCTCTCTCTCTCCCTCTCCCTTCTTCTCTGAAATGAATAAAAATATATATTAAAAAAAAAAAAAAGCCCATGAAGAAATATAAACCCAAAAGGAAGCTGCCTCACCTGGCCCGGCCTCGGTGCTCCGCGTACCAGGCTGTGATTCTCTCCTCCCACATTTCTGGAGTCATCTGATACAGATTTATTACCTAGAGAAAGAGAGAGCAACATAAAAAACCCACACACACAGGGAGGTTCGGTATCGTGTGCCATGTTTATCATGACACATCATTTTGACAAAACAGCACAGCTATTTTCTTTTTTTCCTTAAATATATTTTTATTGATTTCAGAGAGGAAGGGAGAGGAAGAGAGAGATAGAAACATCAATGATGAGAGGGAATCATTGATTGGCTGCCTCCTGCACGTTGGACCGAGCCCGCAACCCAGGCACGTGCCCTTGACCGGAATCGAACCTGGGACCCTTTGGTCCGCAGACCGATGCTCTATCCACTGAGCCAAACCGGCCAGGGCAGCACGGCTGTTTTCCAAAAGCCACGCACAGGGAGCCAGTCGCACGCAGGGGTGGGCGTGTCAACAGGCACCATGCAGTGTGAGTCACAACTCGGGCAGCGGTGCCACCCTTCAGGCCTAGGTGCCCGCCTTGCCGGGCAGGGCCCCCCCTTTCCTGGGCTGTGTGTCCCAGAGGGAGGAGCTCAGTAGTCTTGGGCTCACTGATCTGGGGCCGACCTGCTCGGCCAGGCTGCGTGTGCTGCGGCCTTCGCCTGCACAGAAGCCGTCAGAGGGGCAGGGAGAGCCAGGCCGAGGCGAGGAGCAGGCCTGTATTCCGCGTGACGGACGAGTGGAGCTATCAAATCAGAAGCAGCAAAAGGGAGGGAAGGCCTGCTTCTGCGGCTAATGAACAAGACGAACAACACTGAGGATGAAAAACAACAACGCCCACCCCTGACTCGTCTCCTCTCGGCACCCCCCTCGGCTGCTAAGCGCTCGGCTCCCTGGGCTGAACGTGTGCCGCTCCACACTCCTTCCCGGGAATCACGGACGCTCACCAACCTTTGACGAAAGGACCGTTTGCAGGCCGTGCGAGTCCTGGCAGCCCCAAACTCATTCCATGAACCTTTGCATTTTTAATATTCTTAACAGAGATTCCATACTCTTTCCTCCAGATTGATTACAGCCCGGCCGGCGTGGCTCCGTGGTTGAGCGTCGACCTATGAGCCAGGAGGTCGGGGTTCGATTCCCGGTCAGGGCACATTGCCCGGGTTGCGGGTTCCATCCCCAGTGAGGGATGTGCAGGAAGGAGGCAGCCAATCAATAATGCTCTCTCATCGCTGATGTTCCTATCTCCCTCTCCCTTCCTCTCTGGAATCAATAAAAATAAATATATTTTTTAAATGAAAAAGAAAGATCGATGACAAAACATTCATAATAACGTCCTTGCCTCGTCCTTCCGTTATCCCTTCAAGTCCTTCGGTTCGCTGTCCTACAGGCCACACACCTGTGATTTCTTCCCCGACAGGGAGCAGGATGCCTTACCCTTTTTGGAAGCAATTCCTCTTGGGCCAGAAATCCCCGCTTGTGAACAGAGGGGTCGTAGTCGCCGTACTGGAGAGAGAGAAGAGGGGGGGAGAGCGAGCAATTGAGATTCGAGAGACAACTGTCATTTCTGAACGGCTGGGCTCCGGCCCAATTCCCTCCCAGCTCCAGGGAGCAATTCAATCCGGACGACCAGCCCAGATTTCAACCTTGCTGGTGTGTGATCCCTGAATGAAAACTCAAAGCTGATCACATCTCTGAACGCCGTGGCGTAATCCCCGCGGGCGAGGCGCTAATGAAAACGCGACGTCTGTTCGTCGGGAAAGGGAGCTGTGGTTTCTAACGGTCAGAGAAAGCGGCCGCTCCGGGAGCATGAGCTTCGGAGATGAAGCAACGAGAAACGCGACTGTGGCCGTTGCGATGCGCAAGGTGTGATAAGAGCCTTACCTGCTAATGGCTTCTAAGTGGCTGGTGACCAAGCTGACGGCTGGGGGTGGGAGGGAGCTGGGATGGGAATATGGCTGGCACCGTGTTTAATAGCTTTCATTCAAGGCTCTGGAAAATGCTCTGGGAAGACGGGACGCCAGCGCTGTCACTCACGTTTGTCATCCAGACAAAGACACGAGTGAAAGGGGAACGGGCTTTCCTAACGCTGCAGGGCAGCTCACCGCAAGGGCCGGGCGGGGGCCCTGCGCTGCCACGTGTTCTCCCAGGACAGGAACGCGGAGATTTACTTTCCGATCTAAGAAAAATAATCCTTTTCTTTCTTAGGACACTTAAGCCTGCCCAGGAAATAATGAATAAAATAAAAAAAGATGGAATTTTAAAACAGACACGGACTGGGAAACCTAGAGAATGTAACAATCAAAGCCGGACTCTCGTCAATCAGCATTCATTCGGTGGCTTTTCTTGGGACCAAACCCACAAAGCTCGGTATTTTAGGAGGATCGTCTATAAACATGTATCCGTTCAGCCACCAGCAATGGGAAAAAGCAGAAGAAAGGTCGAGCGCAAGCTGTTGGCTCCGGACACCACTGGCTCGGGCCGGGCCGGGGCCCGCCTGCCCCGTCACTCCCAACGAGCCTCTAGCGCAGCGGTTCTCAACCTGTGGGTCGCGGCCCCTCAGGCGGCTGAACGACCCTTTCACAGGGGTCGCCTAAGACCATCCTGCATATCAGATATTGACATGACGATTCATCACAGTAGCAACATGACAGTTATGAAGTAGCAACGGAAATAATTTTATGGTTGGGGGTCACCACAACATGAGGAACCGTACTGAAAGGGCCAGAAGGTTGAGAACCACTGCTCTATTGGGACTCCTGGTGTGTTTTCCCAGTGAAGTCACACCCCCAGCCACAGACACTCCCCCCGTGGGGGCTGAAAGGTGGCTTGTCAGCAACCTTAACGCGGGCCTCATTCCCACACCGCCCTACGATAGAAGCCCCACGAATTCCTATTTCTCAGGAATCTCATAATCATCGGACGAGCGGCGGAACGGCATTGCATCGTCTTCTGCGTGTTAACGGGATTAATCTGTCGAATGTAAACGTTCAAAATGCGCCACAGATTCTGTAACCCCGTCCAGGCATTTCTCCGTTTCGGGAACGGGAAGGGACCTGGCTGGTCTCGCCCTCGGAAAGGCCTGGGGATGGAGTAAGTCAGTAACTGTGTGCCGAAACCGGTTTGGCTCAGTGGATAGAGCGTCGGCCTGCGGACTGAAAGGTCCCAGGTTCGATTCCGGTCAAGGGCATGTACCTGGGTTGCGGGCACATCCCCAGTAGGAGATGTGCAGGAGGCAGCTGATCGATGTTTCTCTCTCATCGATGTTTCTAACTCTCTATCTCTCTCCCTTCCTCTCTGTAAAAAATCAATAAAATATATTTAATAAAAAAAAAAAAAAAAAAAAGTCAGTAACTGTGAGCTTGCATGCACTGCCTCGGGAGGCGGGTTGCCTAGGGTTCAACCCCAGCCCTTTCACTCATTAGCTGCGACTCTGGGAAACCTGTGACTCGGTTTGCTCATCTGTAAAATGGGATGATAACAGTATTTACCTTCCAGGACTCTTACGGGGATTCAATGGAATCATACCCAGGACGTTTAAGTTTAAAACACGATGGTCGAGCCATAACCGGTTTGGTTCAGTGGATAGAGCGTCGGCCTGCGGACTGGAAGGTCCCAGGTTCGATTCCGGTCAGGGGCATGTACCTTGGTTGTGGGCACATCCCCAGTGCGGGGTGTGCAGGAGGCAGCTGATCGAAGTTTCTAACTCTCTATCCCTCTCCCTTCCTCTCTGTAAAAAATCAATAAAATATTAAAAACAAAACAAAACACGATGGTCGACATGCAACACTCAATACAACCTGACGTTAAACGATAAAAGCTCAAGCTGTGTCCCCTCTCTGCGTGTTTTCTAATTCGTCCAATGAGAGCGCTGGTCCTAAAGGGTTTGAAGTGGGGGCTGCAGAGTATTCCTGCTGTGGCCTTGAGTAAGGAACACCGCCCCCCCCCCAACCTTCCACTTCCTCATCTGGAAAGCAAGGATCATACAGCGCCTGCCTCATGGCGGGTGGTAAGGATGAAGTAGACAATCCGGGCAGCATTCTGCGTGGTGCCTGGCTCCTAGTTACAAGGTCGCGTATTATTGTTAACCTCTCCGTCCTTTAGAACGACACCGGTCACACTGCCTGCCTCTCTGATTTTTTTTTTTTTAAATATTATTATTGATTTCAGAGAGGAAGGGAGAGGGAAATAGAAACATCCATGATGAGAGAGAATCACTGATCGGCCACCTCCCACACGCCCAGTGGGGGATGGAGCCGGGAGCCCGCAACCCGCAACCCGGCACGCGCCCCGGGCCCCACGCTCCATCCACTGAGCCAAACCAGCTAGATTTTTCCAGGGGCAGGATGCCGAAGAAAGCCCTGCTCGTCGCATTTGCATGCCTCTCAAGAGTGCTGACCGGAGTCTAATGCACAGGTAAGCAGATATGCAAAGTTAAGGCTGTAAATCCAGGTTCCGAGGGCTTGTAAGATTAACGATCCACATTATCATCCTGAGCTCCCAGCGACTCCGCTGATCAAATAGGTTACGTCTGAGCCAAGCAGAGGCAGCAAAGACTCGGCTAACAGGGCCCGGGCTAACTCCACTTGCCACATGAAAGCCGCTTGGATGTGTGAGTCGGCTCTTAAATGTGCCTTCAAGAGACGGAAGGAGAAGAAAATCCTTAGGTGGTGGCAGTTGGTGGAGATAAAAGGCAGTCATTCCCCAGCCCGGGTAGAGACGGCGGTCCTCAGCCTTTTATGCACAAGAGCATCCTGAGTCTGTAGCCAGGACTGCGCTGCCTGTGGAACCAACGACACTGGGGTTTCAAGTCTCTGTGCCCGGCTTTATACTCATAATTTGGATTCTTGGGTTGAAAACAAAACAAAACAAAAAAAACTCCTGAAGCTATATAAACTTCAGGCCCCACAAAAACTGGATCCACCCCTGATATAAGGCAACTGAATTTAGATTCAAGGCAGGAGTTCACCACTTATGGGATGCCTGGGAGTCCATTCTTAACGTTAAGCAGATATTGAATATCCTTCTGGATGTTAAATACTCTCCCTTGCCTGTATGCACGGAAAATTAGACAAAACGCTCTGAACAGGATCTCACAAAACATAAAAGATGTCATCAATGCATAAATAGCATAAATAATCAGACCCCTACCGCACCTCAGTCACTAGAACACCGATGGATTAAAGCCTTAAAAAACCATCAATGAAAAGCCAACAAAATACCAGGATGAAATGTAGCAGGACATGTGTATGGTCACGGTGGGGGAAGCCATTCTAAAAGTCACTCAAAACATCAAAAGATTGACAGTCTGACCCATAAAAAAAATAAAAAGATAAAAGGTTAATCCCCATCATAAACGGAGCTCCTATAAATCAAAGAGAAAAAGATAAACGGTAGAGGAGAAAAACGGGCGAATCATACACGCCAGACTCGCAGGGGAAAGCCAATCTATGAAAAGACGCTCAGCCCCAATGGTAAGCAAGGAAATGAAAACTTCTAAAAATCTATTTTTTTTTCCGGTCAGATTAGCAAAAATGTAAGACTGACAGCATGAGGATGTGGAAAACAGGTATTCTCACACACTGTTCTTAGAAGTTACGGTGGAGGGCAATTTGGCCACTTCTATTTTTTTTAAAAAATTGAGATAAAATTTACATGCATACAATTCACCGTTTGCAGCGTACGATTTCGTGGTTTCCAGCATAGTCAGAATGTCGTGCAACTCTCACCACTCTCTAATTCCAGAATATTTCTATTGTCCCCCAAAAAACACCTCATACCCATGAGCAGTAGTAACTCCTGATTTCCTCCCTCCACCCCATCGCCACCATGAGAGCTACTTCCTATCTCTATGGAGTTGCCCACAGCGGACATTTCATAGAAGTGGAATCACACACTCCGCGGCCTTCGCGTCATTATTTACATTTTTAATGTTCTTGCCCTAACCGGTTTGGCTCAGTGGATAGAGCGTCAGCCTGTGGACTGAAGGGTCCCAGGGTCGATTCCAGTCAAAGGCATGTACCTTGGTTGCGGGCACATCCCCAGTAGGGGGTGTGCAGGAGGCAGCTGATTGATGATTCTCGCTCATCAATGTTTCTAACTCTCTGTCCCTCTCCCTTCCTCTCTGGAAAAAAAAAATTTTTTTTTAAATGTTCTTATCCTTCGACCCAGTTATGCCGTGTCTTGGTATCTATCAGAGGAACGTTGTTCACATGCTCATATTCACGAGTGTTTGCTACATCCGTCTAAATAGAAGAATAGAAAGAAAAACAAACCTAAATATCTCCCAGTAAAGAGAGATTTAAACAACTCAGAATCCCTCCGTTTTATGGAATACTGCTCAGTGGTTTTAAAACATGAGACGGGTCTACCTGTTCTTGCAGTTTTCAGTGATAAGGGCACCTTGTGCAGGTCTCCCACTGGAATATAGTCACCCAGAGGGAGGGTTCAGGGGTTGGCGGGGTGTCTGCTCACCTGACCGGCCCCTCCCTCGCCCCTCACCCTACAGAGGCCACACCAATGCACAGACCCTCCCGGCAAGTAGATGAGCTTAGACCAGCTGTGGGCAAACTACGGCCCGCGGGCCGGATCCGGCCCGTTTGAAATGAATAAAACTAAAAAAAAAAAAAGACCGTACCCTTTTATGTAATGATGTTTACTTTGAATTTATATTAGTTCACACAAACACTCCATCCATGCTTTTGTTCCAGCCCTCCGATCCAGTTTAAGAACCCACTGTGGCCCTCGAGTCAAAAAGTTTGCCCACCCCTGGCTTAGATGGTGCTTCTATTGCGTCTGTGGATTTATTGCTCCCTGTCAATCTTATGGGCTTGGAATGCTGCCTTATCGGCGCTCTAATTTCTCTTTCCCTTGATTACTAGTGAGATGGAACATTTTTTGTTTCGTTTTGACTCATCATTCTCATTTTCTCTTCTTTAAAGTGCCTGTTGTTCATACGCCTGGCGCCCATTTTTCTGCTGCCTGTTTTTTTATAAACGTTAAGGGTTCTTGACGTTCAGGGATATTGATGTAACTCTACCTCTAGAAACCTACCTTAAGGGGAGAAAGCTTTTGCACGTTCATATAAGGCATCGCATAAAAGGATTTTCAGTAAAGCGCTGTTTATAATAGGGGGAAAGCAGGAATTAAACCTACCTCTTCCTCAGAAGGGAAGAGGGATAAACTAGGTTTATTTGTCAAATAAACCTAGGTTACGATACAGTGGTTAGAATAATGGGCTAAATCTATATATAGAACACAGATACATCTTAAAATCACGCTGAGTGGGGGAAAACAGCATTTTGTAAAAAGGATGTACAAAAAAGATAAGCGGAGGGAAGCATCATTTATATCAACCTTTACCTCCTGGGTTTTTAAAAAAAATATATTTTATTGATTTTTTACAGAGAGGAAGGGAGAGGGATAGAGAGTTAGAAACATTGATGAGAGAGAAACATTGATCAGCTGCCTCCTGCACACCCCCTACTGGGGATGTGCCCACAACCAAGGTACATGCCCTTGACCAGTATCGAACCTGGGACCCTTTTTTTTTTTTTTAAATACATTTTATTGATTTTTTACAGAGAGGGAGAGAGAGATAGAGAGTTAGAAACATCGATGAGAGAGACATCGATCAGCTGCCTCCTGCACATCTCCTATTGGGGATGTGCCCGCAACCCAGGTACATGCCCTTGACCGGAATCGAACCTGGGACCTTTCAGTCCGCAAGCTGACGCTCTATCCACTGAGCCAAACCGGTTAGGGCCGGCCTGGGTTTCTTTAAGTCAGCGCCTTCCCTCCAACTCACTGCTGCCCGAGGTGTGAACCTCATTCACAGTCTCTCACCCAGTCTGCTCACAGGGCTCCCTGTTCCCAAACTTGCCTCCCCCTCCAATATGTCCTTCCGTAAGCCACCAAAAAATCTGCCTAAAATCCGACTGGGAATCAAACCGCGACCTCCTGGTTCACAGGTTGAAGCTCAACCACTGACCCACACCGGCCAGGCTAATTCTTTTTTTAATGGAATTTGTAGCCCACAACTGGGTGGGCAGGATTTGAAGCAGATGGAGCTAGAGGACGGAGTCAGGATGGGACACCTGGGGTCTGACTGCCGGACTCCGCACTTTGCTCTTGCCCCTCACGGTCAGTGGCTTGAGAGAGGTCTCCCGGCAGCACACATGCCGTCACTGAATCCCAGGTTCAGCCCGGCCGGCGTGGCTCAGTGGCTGAGCATCGGCCTGTGAACCAGGAGGTCACGGTTCGATTCCCGGTCGGGGCGCGTGCCCGGGTTGCGGGCTCGACCCCCACTGTGGGGCGTGCAGAAGGCAGGCAATCCATGATTCTCTCTCATCATTGATGTTTCTATCTCTCTCTCTCTATCTCTTCCCTCCTCTCTGAAATCAATGAAAAAAATTTTTAAATTAATATAAAGTATTGTGACTTTAGACAAATTATTACTCCTTTCTGAGCCTTCAATTCGCCACTGATAAAACAGGCAAGATACTTGCAAGCCCTGGCTTATGGCAAAGGCTACACTGAGAATCGCACAAAATATGCACGTTGTAACACTTTGTAAGACGATAAAACACTACAGGCATCTAAGATCTTATAAATATCATCATCAGAAATGCCCTCTTCATATTAACCAGCCGTCCTGGAAACTGGAAGCGTGTTAAAAAATCATTCTTCGTTTCCCAAATGCAGACTTGAAGTCATCGATGCGCTTTATTTGTGAGAGCCCGAGAATTTACACCGGAAAAAACCCCAGAACCTCCTCCTCCATATGAGCCACATATGTGCTCTGTGAATCACTTTCATCTCTAAATGAGAAGGGCTTTCCTACAGTGAAATCTGTTTAAGCAAACATCTGCTGGTTCCCAGACAAGTCCGCCCCCACCCCCCCACCCCCGCCCCCGCCCCCGCCACACACACACACACACACACACACACACACACACACACACACACACAGGTGGCCTTTGAATTTGTGGCTCAAAAATCCATGCAAAGAAAACGCTGCCTTTGAGACGGAAGCCCTGCAGACGGAAGCCCTGCAGGGAGAGGTGGTGTCCTTGAGAGCTGGGGGCCGGGCCTCCGCTCAGCTGGGGAGAGAGCGTGCCGAACAGGAACTCGGTTCCGGGCCAGGAAGTGCCCGGATTTAATGAGAGCGACAATGACTGCTTCATCACTGTCAGGGTGATCCTGATTGAAAGGGCACATTTTTTCCTGTTATTAATATTCTTAATCAAAGCATAAAAGGAAGCATATGTCTTGGTTGAATCAAGGCCCATTTTCTGTGGGGTTTTTTTTTTTTTCTCCTCCAATTACTCATTTTTCTGGGCAGTGGAATAGGGGGAGGCACAAAACGTAATCCCAGGGCCACGAATTCTGCCTTTAGCTTTACCCCAAGATCGCCCGGATGACCCTGGGCACGTGGCGTAGTCTGTATTGTGACAGAATCCACACCCACTCGTGCCGGCCGGGGAACGCTCTGCGACCATTAGCCCCGTCATCAGATGACGCCGAGTCACCGAATGACTCCCGGGGCTTGTCGGTCTGAGGAGCGTGTACACACTCTTCTCTCCTCCAAGTGACAGGCTAATTGGTTACTTCCTGACTTTGACCGGAGATCGCATTAAGCTACTCCAGAAAAAAAGTAGGCTGAGAAGTTAAGAGCGTCTTATTAATTTTTTGTAACACTGCAGGGACATGGCTTTAGGGGACAGCTCTAACTACAAAGGAAAACAATAGCAAAAGACGATACAAAAAAAGTAATCAAGACGCCCAAATTCTGGAACTTCTTTATGCTGCGGTGAAAGGCCGTGAGTGAGCAGAGGGCACGAGAGAAAGTGGCACATGCCTGAAATGGAAATCACGGGGGACCTCAGGCCCCGTGGGCTGGCCCTGTCATTGGTCTTATAGAAACAGGGAGGACAAAAACACAAGATCGTTGGTCTCCCTTTCCTGCCATTCTCAGTCGCTGGGAATGCCTTTCTGCTAGCCGGACAGCTCAGCTGGGCTCAGCGGCCAGGGAGCCTGCAGTGCCCAGCCGTGAGCAGGGTGGCATGCCCATCAGGGGTGGAAGGAGCAGGCCACTCTCTAGGGCAGTGGTTCTCAACCTTCCTAATGCCGCGGCCCTTTAATACAGTTCCTCATGTTGTGGTGACCCCCAACCATAAAATTATTTTTCGTTGCTACTTCATAACTGTAATTTTGCTACTGTTATGAATCGTCATGTAAATATCTGATATGCAGGATGTATTTTCATTGTTACAAATTGAACGTAATTAAAGCATAGTGACTAATCACAAAAACAATATGTAATTATAGATGTGTTTTCCGATGGTCTTAGGTGACCCCTGTGAAAGGGTCGTTCGACACCCAAAGGGGTCACGACCCACAGGTTGAGAACCGCTGCTCTAGGGGATGGTGAGGTCCCCTTCCAACAGGGCTGCTGGTCCACAGAAGATGAGTGGGGAGTGAGGACCTGGGCCCTTCTGACCTAAAGGCCATGTTTGACCCACACTGGAGATCATAAATTCCTTTTTCCTGGTTAATAATAAGAGAGGTTGGGCCCAGCCGGCGTGGCTCAGTGGTTGAGCGTCAACCTATGAACCAGGAGGTCACGGTTCGATTCCCGGTCAGGGCACAGGCCCGGGTTGCACGCTCGATCCCCAGGGTGGAGCGTGCAGGAGGCAGCCGATTAGTGATTCTCTCTCATCACTGATGTTCCTATCTCCCCCTCCCTCCCCCTCCCTCTCTGAAATCAACAAAAATATGTTTTAAAAAAAAGAAAGAAAAAGAAAAAAGAGAGGTTGGTTCAGTAAATGTAAGGAACAACATGTGCACAATGAGAGCACAAAGAAAAGTTACCAAATTACACACTTACTTGTACACACACACACACACTCACGAGATCATACAGAAGTGAGACTTGGCTCCCCCAGGGCCTTCCCCCTTGCCGGGGAAAGCCTCCCTAAAGTCTAGGAAACCCCAAGAACCAGACGACTGGCGCGGCCCCGCAGACACGTCCCTGCCCCGCGACGCTGAGTTTTTCCCCGTGGCGCCTACCTTGGCCTGGACGGCGTACGAAGCCAGCAGCACCGAGGCCTCTGGCGGGCAGTAGATCTTCTCATCCAAGATCTGCTTCTTCACCTGAAAGGGGCGACAGGGGACACGTGACACGGGGTACATGGCCGTGAGCCGCGCAGCTGGGCACGGCGGACGCCGAGGGGCGTCCTGTTGAGGGCCGCCTGCCAGGCCGGCCTGTTAATGAGGCTCTGACAAAAGGGTACGATTTTTTTATTTTATTGCTGCAGACAGGTTGGGAGCTCAGGCGCTGAGCGGTTATTGGTGAGACGGCCATGCGTGAGAACCCCTCATGGCTTCTGCTCACGGTCAAGAGCTGAGGAGGAAAGACCGTTCATGGTTACAACCGAGATGAGCCCTGGCCGGTGCAGCTCAGTGGATAGAGCGTCGGCCTGTGGACCCAAGGGTCCCGGGTTTGATTCCGGTCAAGGGCATGTACCTCGGGTGCGGGCTCCTTCCCGGCCCGGGTCCTGGTCGGGGTTCGTGTAGGAGGCAACCAATCGATGTGTTTCTCTCACATCGATGTTTCTCTCTGTCTTTCCCTCTCTCTTCCATTCTGTCTAAAAATCAATGGAAAAGTATCCTCGGGCGAGGATTAACAACAACAAAAAAAGAGAGACACTGACATCTGGGCCGGGACAGAGGAGCGGCTCTGATGGGGGTTGCAGCCTCAGCCCAGCTGAGCACAGGCAGCACCCTCGGGAATGGCGTCTACTTTCAAGTCTGAACACAAGAGAAAAGGCGGCGAGACCACTGAGTTATGACTGCGGGGAAAACACCATCACTTTCGATACGGCCGCTCTAAGGAAAAAGGAAGCGATGAAGTGGGATCGATTAAACTGTTAAGCACTCGTGAGGTCCAGGAAATATAACTCTGAAGCCGCAATGTTGAACGAACATATCTAAGGGCACTTAATTTCTTCGACACAGCGGCGAGGGAGCTGCCAGAAGTGGGGGCAGTGAAATACACAGGACAGGAAAGCCAGCTCTCTCTTCACAGAGGTCAACAGCCACCAGATCCACAAACGTAGTGAACTGCACCTAGGTTGCCTGACACCGCTTCTCGCCACTCAAACCTAGTCCTATTCTAAAGGCGCTGTCCGTCCCGGAACGGAAAGGACCGGCTTTCTGGACGTGGGACCTTTTCACCGCGTGAAGCTCCGGGGACGACACGGACAGTCTTCCTCCCGCAGGCCACCTTGACGCCTCTGCAACCACCACGCCTGGGCGGGCTTTCCCGTAGTGGGGGGAGGGGGGGGCGGGGCGGGGGAGCACGGACTACTGTACCTGCAGGAAGAATAAATGCTGTGTGATCTCCTGAACCAGCTCCTCCTCGGCGTTCTCGGGGTAAAACTTGGCCAGGAAGTGGAAGGTGACCGGCTCTTCCTTCGAAACATCATGATCCAGCACCTGCGGGATCGCAGAGCAAAAGACAAAACAGGCTACGTTGGCACCTCTTCTCCCCATCCCCCATCGGAGAGAACCTCTCGCAGGAAGCATATCGATACTTTTTCCTCCTCTAAATTCATCACATGCCCGGCCGGTGTGGCTCAGTGGTTGAGCATCAACCTATGAACCCAGGAGGTCCCGGTTCGATTCCCGGTCAGGGCGCGTGCCTGGATCGCCGGCTCGATCCCCAGTGTGGGGCGTGCGGGAGGCAGCCGATCAATGACTCTCTTCTCATCATGGCTGTTTCTATCTCTCTCTCTCTCTCCCTCTCCCTTCCTCTCTGAAATCAATAAAAATATATTTTTAAAAGTAATAAATTCATCACATTTCCCAGAGGTGGTGACTAACAAGAGGTATTACTTCAAACAGCCTTTCTGAACCAAGCTAATTAACGGGTGCCCGAGGGGTGAGGAGAGCGAAGATGAAGGCACTAATGTTCTCAAGGCCGCAGAGATCGTCAACAATTATAAATGTCTGACTCCAGGGTTCTGGGCTGCCGGCCTTTATCGTAGGCGGCATGTTTTTTTCTAACGTTTTTGAAAATAGTGGTAAATATTTCTTTATTCTCTTTTCTTGCTGCCAACAACCCCCAACATTCAGGTCCATATTGGAACGGAGCTTCGGACGATGAACTGAATCTTTGTCAAATCGGCTGAACACCAGCTAAGCAGGAGACGTGACACGTGTCCCTCCTGGCGACCCTGTGTTTCAAGGAACCTCCAGAGACGCCCCACAAGAACACGTGGGCGCAGGCAGTAAGCCGCACGCCTTTCATCTCCCAGCCATCCCACCCACCCCCCGAAAAGCCTGCGCCATCTGCTCTCCAGAACGAGTTTCCCTCCAGGCCATAAACATGCCATTAACATGGGTCACAGTTGATTTCCTTTGAGCAGCAAGGCACCATGGCTCCTGATGCCCCCAGTCCGATAGCCATTTGGCCAACACTCGGGGAGACGATTTAAATTCACTTCGCTGAGAATCACAAGATACTAGGAAGTCTTGCTGTCTTTGGTAGATCGCTTTCCACGCCCCGGTCCAAATTCCAATGGGTGGTTCCCAGGAGACTTAACATAAACCTGATCTCGGATAATCTTTTTTTTATTTTAAATGTTTTTTTATAGATTTTTATTTTTATTTTTTTAAATATATTTTTATTGATTTCAGAGAGAGGAAGGGAGAAAAAGAGAGAGATAGAAACATCAATGATGAGAGAGAATCATTGACTGGCTGCCTCCTGCAGGCCCCCCACTGGGGATCGAGCCCGCAACCCAGGCACGTGCCCTTGACTAGAATCAAACCCGGGACCCTTCAGTCTGCAGGCCGACACTCTATCCACTGAGCCAAACCGGCTAGGGCTGATCTCGGACAAGCTTGCTGACATGGGCACAAGGTGGGCAACTTGACGTTCGAGATCATTGGGGAATACCGTGTGAAATTAATAACCTGCGGGGATTCCAACACAAAGACTCAGATGAGTGTCCATCTGTAAGTAATGTGAACATGTGAGTTTAGTGTCAAAGTGGCAGAAGTCAGGAGGCTTTGTTTATCATGCCATGTGGCAGATAATAAAATCAGGCTCCATGTGGGGTAAGAATTAGACACTGACTTCCTCTGAGATTCACTGAGAAACACATATGGCCCTGGTCTCAACCATCTTCGTGGTTAGGTAGGCAGGTAAGCAGGCGAGTATGTCTTTGTGTGCACAGATGAGCCCACACAGAGGGCAGCTTCCCCGGGCGATATTCACTTCTGAGCCGCATCAGAACTGCTGGGAGCCCCCTTCAGGCCTCAGCAGCCCCAGAAAATCACGAGGACTAAATGGATGGTCTTCCTTCATCACAGGGACCAGGGCATTCTTTATTCCTTAGATTGCACGAATGAGTAGACTGAGTCGGGCCATGGTGTTTCTCAAAAAGACTTTTAGCCCGGCCAGCGGGGCTCAATGGCTGAGCGTCGACCTATGAACCAGGAGGTCACGGTTCGATTCCTGGTCAGGACACATGCCCCGGTTGCGGGCTCGATCCCCAGTGGGGGGCGTGCAGGAGGCAGCCGATCAATGCTTCTCTCTCAACATGGATGCTTCTCTCTCTCTCTCTCTCTCTCTCTCTCTCTCTCTTCCTCTCTGAAAATCAATAAAAATATATTTAAAATAAAATAAAATTTCATAAAGCACATGAGCCCCAAGAACATCTTTCAACGACATATATTCTAAGTAACGTATGTCACTTTTATTCACAAAGCCTGACTAGCGGCTCAGTGAGCTGACCGGCATTAACGCCAAAAGCAGGTAGCCCAGCCCTGACTGATTTGGCTCAGTGGATAGAGCGTCGGCCTGCAGACTCAAGGGTCCCGGGTTCGATTCCGGTCAAGGGCATGTACCTTGGTTGCGGGCACATCCCCAGTGGGGAGTGTGCAGGAGGCAGTTGATCGATGTTTCTCTCTCATTGATGTTTCTAACTCTCGATCCCTCTCTGTAAAAAATCAATAAAATATATTAAAAAAAAAAAAAAAAAAGCAGGCAGCCCGGTGACGATGAGGAAAGGGGCCGGGGGTGGCAGCAGTTTCATGGTGCTGGGTTCTGCGTGCCCAGGAGAGCCTGGGTGGGGTAGGAAACCCCCTTCTCTACCCTGGACCCGCCAAGCCCCACGGTGAGCAGCTGCGCTGGGCCCATGCGCAGGGAGGAGCCGGAGCACACACCCGCCCCTCCGGCCCCATCCACTTGCGGCCCAACCTTCTTGTCCGTCTTGAGCCAGGCCACGGTGTCCTTGATCGTGTACTGCAGCCCGAAGAACCAGGTTTCCCGCAGCCCCAGGGTCCGGCACACCAAGTCGAACAGGTCCTTCCCTTTCCACTTCATCTGCAACACAGCAAACCAGGAGGGGAAAAGAAAACACAAAGAACATGGTGAGCCAGCGTTATTCACAACAGCTAAGATCTGGAAACAGCCCAAGTGCCCAGCAGGAGATGAGTGGATAGAAGAGCTGTGGGACATTTACACTATGGAATACTATGCAGCTAGAGAGAGAGAGAGAGAGAGAGAGAGAGAGAGAGAGAGAGATCTCTCCCTTTGGGACAGCCTGGATGAACCTGGAAAATACTACGCTAAGTGAAAGAAGCCAAGCTGAGAAAGACAAATGTCACATGATCTCACTTATGTGTGGGATCTCATGAACAAAATAGATTGGCCGACAAAATAAGACCCGAAGCCGGGAGGCATGGAACAGACCAGCATAGCTCGATGTGGGGTTGGGGGGACGAGAAGAGATAAACCAAAGAACGTATATACTTCTATGCACAGCCCATGGGCACAGGCAATGGGGCACTGAAGACCTGGGGGGGGGGGGGGGTAGGGGCTGGGAGGAGAGGGGAAAGGAGGGAGGGGAATGGGAGATAACTGTATTACTATCAACAGTGGGGGGTGTGTGTGTGTGCACGCACATGCACGCAAGAGGCATCAATGATTCTCTCTCATCACTGATGTTTCTATCTCTCTCTCCCTCTCCCTTCCTCTCTGAAATCAATAATATATATGTATATATATATATATATATATATATATATATATATATACACATATATATATATATATATTTTTAAAAACCACACACACAAAACACTGTGAGCAAGAGCCATAACCTGCTCGCACAGAAACCTTTGCTCTGCTCTCTCCACTCTCGGGTCCCAGGATGCGGAGAGGACAGGAAGGTGGCTGACGGGCACAGGCTCCTAAACAAGGTGAAGGCTTCCTCCACAAAACCAGGAGCGGGGAGATGCCGACGAGAGCTGAACGGCTCAGTCGCTGCACAGCACACACGGTGCCTCCCTCGGACAGCTCCCCACCGACCGCAGCACCCCCAGAGCCCGTTCAGGAAAACCGGGAAATGCGCGTCCTCACCTAGGAGAGCCCAGCCTCCGGAGTGAACCCGGGGAGGGGGCCAGCTTCCAGGCACATTAATTTCCTTGAGATTTTGTCTTTTTTCTTTTTAAATCACGACCTTGCCCTTTGATAAAAGGCTAGTGATCTGTTGTTTGCTCGTTTCACTTTGTTTTAAAATTTAAAGGCTGGTTTTACCAGAACTTTTTTTTTTTTAAAGCAACATAGGAAAAGAAGTTGTGACCAAAGCCATAAATCATGGAGAAAAACCACATTAGAGACGAGTCAGTCCACGCTGATCCCGCTGTAGAACTGAGGCCAAAGGGGAGGCAACTGGCCCACCGTTACCCAGAGCAGTTTGAAACTCTCAGCATCCGAACCAGGGGACGAGCGGAGACCGATATACCGCAGTGCACGCATTCGCATTCGACAGCCCCGCTTTCAAAAGGGCCTGAGCCAGCGGTTCTCAACCTGTGGGGCGCGACCCCTTTGGGGGTCGAATGACCCTTTCACAGGGGTCGCCTAAGACCATCGGAAAACACATCTATAATTACATATTGTTTTTGTGATGAATCACTAGGCTTTCATTATGTTCAATTTGTAACAATGAAAATACACCCTGCATATCAGATATTTACATGACGATTCATAACAGTAGCAACATTGCAGTGATGAAGTAGCCACGAAAATAATTTTATGGTCGGGGGTCACCGCAACATGAGGGACTGTATTAAAGGGCCGCGGCCTTAGGAAGGTTGAGAACCGCTGGCCCGAGCGATGGCTGCTACACCCCTCGGCCGTCCGATCTCTTAGCTGGAAAAACAAGTAAGAAAATGCCCCGCGGTTTAGTGAATGTTGCCACCTTGTGGCTTTCGCGTTAAATCACCCAACCTGTTCCCATACTGCCCGTGGGCCGCGGCTCGCCCCCTACCCCCAAGGGCCCCCAAGTCCCAGGTGGGCTTTCAGATGTTGCCCAGGTACAGTCATGAGCAGGTGAGATACATCACAGCGTCAGTGGGCGTAGCGAGAATGAACTTGGGACTCAATGACAGCGTCGCCGGAAACCAGAAGAACAAGAGCACTCGACTGCAGACCCAGCTCTCCTTCTGCCCTCATTAGACACCTCCACCCAGGCCCGGCCGGCGTGGCTCCGTGGCTGAGCATCGACCTAGGAACCAGGAGGTCAGGATTCGGTTCCCGGTCAGGGCACATGCCCGGGTTGTGGGCTTGACCCCCAGTGGGGGACTTGCAGGAGGCAGCCGATCCATGATTCTCTCTCATCATGGATATTTCTCTCTCTCTCTCTCTCTCTTCCTTCCTATAATAAAATAAATAAGAAAGAAAGAAATCTCCACCCAGTTCCTGGCACACTGAAGGTGCATAACGAAAAGGAATGAGGGAATAATTAGGGTTTAGACGACTTGGTATAAAAGCAAAGAGGGGGGAAAAAATAAGTTAGGCCTCTGATATCCGATTGGCTTGGGCTAAACCCTGAATCGACAGAGGACTTTTCCCGCAGGGCTTCTATTTTTAATATCTGTGAATGAACAGCGTGTTCTCTACGAGGCTCTCGGCAGGAGAGCCGTGAATGAACAGCGTGTTCTCTACGAGGCTCTCAGCAGGAGAGCCCTCCCTCCCCCAGGCCTGCAGTCCAATCAAGGAGCAAAGGAGCAGCCCAGATGGAAGGGCTCCAAAACCGCAGCAGACAAGTGGCCGGGACGCGCCCTGGCTTTTGTCCTTCGCGGGAGCCGCGTCTCCTATCTGTCCTTCTCGCGCTGCCCCCGTCCCCTCCCTGGGACTTTAGTGAGGCCCCCGAGACACCTCAGAGGTTGACGTTGTAGAAATTATTTCACAGAGAATGAAATCAAATGACTTTTTTTTTTTTTAATGATCCCTTTCCCCCTTTGCAGGGCTTAGGACTGCTCGTTGGCACACCGCGTCCCTGCCTGACCACCGGACAAAGGGTTTTTTAACGCAGGCACCCACGGCAGGTGTCAATTCCTACAGGCAGACGGCACCGAAGAAACGTTATTTTGGAAAACTAGAAGCTTCAGGATGCTGATTATTCTCTTGTCTCTATTTTAAGCCAGGACACAGTCTATAAATTATAAATGACTACCTTGCTACAAGATAATGGAACAATAAAAAACCAGACATTAGCTTGGAGAAGTTAAACACCCCAGGGCCAAGATCAAAGTAATTCCAAATCCTCCCTAACTCACAGCCCCGGCCAGGCTGGGCTACAGCACGGCCAGGCACCATGGCACCACGGCACCACGGCACCACCACGGCACGAAGGGGCTGCCAATGGGATGCGCGGGCATCTGAAGGAAGCTGCAAAGGGAATGACGAGGGACTGTCCTGACTTGGGAGTTTAAATTCTCAAGCATGATGCCGCATTAATGCAATTTTCTTGTATTCCTTCCTCCTTCTTTGTCTTTAAAATACAGAACTATCCCTGTTGAATGCAGAGCCGATGTCTTTGTTCCCAGGGAGCTGGCGATAAAGTGAGGAGAGGGGGCGAAAAATTCTCACACTGATTCAAAATGCCCTGCTTGGATTTTTAACTTAGGGCCCTAGCTGGTCTGGCTCAGTGGATAGAGCGTCGGTCCGTGGACTGAAGGGTCCCGGGTTCGATTCTGGTCAAGGGCACACGCCCGGGTTGCAGGCTCGATCCCCAGATGTTTCTACGTCTCTTTTCCTCTCCCTTCCTCTCTGAAATCAATAAAAATATAAAAATAAAAAAAAAAGAATCCGAGAATGTCCGAGTTGGAAATAAGCCTACTTACTGGGTCTACCTACTACAGATCCACCCCCTTTTTGTATAAATAAGGAAACTGAGTCACAGATCCTGCTAACGTAGACCCTAACCGGTTTGGCTCAGTGGATAGAGCGTCGGCCTGCGGACTCACGGGTCCCAGGTTCGATTCCAGTCAAGGGCGTGTACCTTGGTTGTGGACACATCCCCAGTGGGGAGTGTGCAGGAGGCAGCTGATTGGTTTCTCTCTCGTCGATGTTTCTAACTCTCTATCCCTCTCCCTTCCTCTCTGTAAAAAAATCAATAAAATGTGTTTAAAAAAAAGAATTTGTTCTTTTAGGTTAACTCTCACCACCAACATGATGTCTACCGACCCGAGGATCCCTGTCCAACATGCCCTCCCCAAGACGCGTGAGGCTGGCTCGGTCCTCCTAACTCGGGGCTCCACTTTTTACAAACAAGAACCATGTATCGCAGTGGCTCCGAGTGGTTCTCGGGACGCCCTGTACAGGGGGGTCTTGGGCTGCGAATGGGGCCTCCTTGGTGACAGCCGACTGACATCGTGTTCTCTAACTCTCTATCCCTCTCCCTTCCTCTCTGTGACAACCTTCCTAATGCCGCCACCCTTTAATACAGCTCCTCCTGTTGTGGTGACCCCCGACCATAAAATTATTTTCGTTGCTACTTCATCACTGTCATGTTGCTGCTGTTATGAATCGTCATGTAAATATCTGATATGCAGGATGTATTTTCATTGTTACAAATTGAACGTAATTAAAGAAGCTTCATCAGTGACCCACTGTACCGCGCTGATGCTGTGCCGTAATCAGAACGTCCGAACGTCTCCCTAAGATTGTAGGCACCTCGGAACAGAGCCCCATCTGCCGTGTCTCTATCCCCACCGTGTCCGGCCACGCAGGGACGCACAAGTCACGGCCAACGGCGGCGGTCCGACGGAAGACCCAACTGCTTCCAGAACCCGCGAGGAGCCTTGAAAACTGAAAGCAAAAGATGAACCTCCACCCACCCGCTCCTTCAACTAATGTTTGGTAAACGCCCAATGTGTCCGAGCAAGAGCCGAGGGGCAGGGGCTAAACGGGGAGCAAAAGAGACAGCCTCTGCCCCCACAGACCAGGTCTTGAGCATGAACCAGTCAGGAACCAACAGTCCCCTCCCTCGCCCCACGCGTGAAAATCAGCTCCAGGTGTGGCTTTCACGCCAACAC